GAAGCTGAGGGGGGGGACACAGGCCTATGGCCTGTCCACCCAGAGGAGCTGGGGGCCAGCTCCGGGCACCACAGGGCTCTCTCAGAGGGTTTCATCCGGCTGGGTGAGGCCTGAGGGAGGTTGGTGAGAGGTCGGGAGAAGCGGTGGGCCCTGGCATCTCAGCGGGTGGAGGGGAAGGTGGGCAAGCAAGCTGATGGGAAAGCAAGGTGTGAGGCGGTCAAGAGTGGACGGGGTGTGTGGAGTCACTGAGCTCAGGCAGATGGGGGCTGTGGCTGGCGATGGGCACTTCTGAAGCTGGAGTTGTGGGACTCACCCTGCTCTGTCCTCCAGAAACGGCGAGAGGGTATCGGTGCCCAGAGGGAAGTCGGGGAAGGTGAAAATTCGGGTCCTGGTGTTAGAAATGGCCCGTGAGGACTGGGACCCAGGTCTTAGAGCAGGAGTTGGTGACTGAGCCTGTAGGCCCTGCAGTCCTAGGGGGGTGAGAACTGAGCCCCCAGAGTTTTACAAGGAAGCTATGAGGTGATGGGGCTCCTACCCTGGGGGCCAGCCCACACGGGATGGCAAGCCTAGTGTGCGATCTGCGCCAGCAGGGCCCAGCCTTGTCATGAAGCCAGGGACATCCCTCCCGTCTCCTTTCCCACACCTTCCCCCCCGGAAGCTGCACAGCTATTACCTGATGCTTGGGGCCTCCACATGGAGCCCAGGGCTGCAGGTTGTCTGGAAGGTCTAAAGATGGAGGGAGGGCACTTCTCGAGGCCGTGGCATCCCCCTCCTGGAGGGCCAGGCCAGGCAGTCCCCAAAGCCGCTGTATCTCTCTGTATAGTTGGGCTGAATCTGCGGGTCTAGAGGAGGGTCCAGTGCCCCATGTGCTTGGAGGCACCACTGTGGTCAGATGTTCCAAGCAGCCCTCATGGCTCCCCTGTCTGCACCGGGGAGGTACCCAGGGTGACAAACCCAAGGTACAGGATCCGAGACTGTGCCTGTGGAAAGGACTTTAAAGGTCCTGGTTTACCATCCTGCTGACTCTGCTGGGGGCAGGAGGCCCAGAGTAGCCCCAGACCAGCCCAAAGTCACAGAAGTCAGGGCTGACATGGAGGAACATCAGAGGCTACTCCCAGGCCAGAGCTCCCAGGAAGGGCTGCACCTGCTTGTCCTGTGGGATTTCCTCTCCTCGCTCAACCACCTGACCTACCTGTGAGCAGTGATAGAGGCGGAGCCGGGGGCTGCCCTGCAGCGGGGAAGCATCAGGAGCGCTGTGAGTCCTGATGGGTGTTCCTCTGGGGCAGGTAAGGGGGAGATGGCAGGAGACGTCTCAGTGAGCAGTGCTGGCCTCACAGAAGTTCCATGTCCGGGCGCAGGCTCCTCTCGTCCCCCAGGCCTGACAGACTCAAATAGGCAGAGTTCTCTGGGTGTCTCATTGCAGCCCAGGCTTCTTTCTCTAGACTGGGAAGAATGTAGTCATTGCACAATAAGGTTGTTCCCTGGGAAAGCGGGGTAGGGATGTGATTTCTCAGTGCCCCCTCCTCACCTGAATCAACCCCAACAGGATGCAAGTAGGCCTGGGCATTATGGGGTGTTTTTTTAAAAAAATATATATTTTATTGAATTTTTACAGAGAGGAAGGGAGAGGTATAGAGAGTCAGAAACATCGATGAAAGAGAAACATCAGCTGCCTCCTGCATACCTCCCACTGGGGATGTGCCCGCAACCAAGGTACATGCCCTTCGAACCTGGGACCCTTCAGTCCACAGATCGATGCTCTATCCACTGAGCCAAGGCGCTGCTTCTGCCATGGGGGGATCATGTCTCACATCCCAGAAGCCAGTGGGAGTTGCCACAATAAGTCTGGGCTTGCTTGGGCTGACCCAACCTTGCCAAGAGACACCAAGGTTGTCAACAGGAGTAATCGCTGGAACACTAATGAATTAATTAGGGAACTTGGAAATTGCACGTAGGAGCTGGTTCCTGGCCTGGCTGGCCTGGGTGTGCGGTGTTTGGCACGAGGCTTTCAACCCTCTAACCCCAGAGGCTGAGAGAAGAACTTCCATTGCTAGGCGAGAGTCTTGTCTGGCCTTTTCAAATCAGTATTTCTGCCTATTGAAATGGTGCTAAATGTTTAAATAAAAATAGCAAATAATAATAATAATAATAGCTACCATTTACTAATCACCTACTATGCCAGGCAGCATGCCGGGAAACTCTGCATGTCTTGCTGTGTTTTTAATCTCCCTAATGCCCTTGAAGGATGTTACCTAGACAGTTAGATGTGTGCATCTCGGGCTCTGGGGAGAGATGTTGGCTGGAGACACGGAACTTTAGGTGCCTGGGGGAACTAAGGTTGAGGAAGGGATGAGGCCACTGTGGGGTGGGGGGTGTGGGGGGAGAAAAGGCATCCAGAGCAGCCAGGGGCAGAGGGAGAATCTCTATGGAGTGGCTTCATTGATGCTGAGGACAAGGGTATTTCAAGGGAGAGGGCGCTCTCTGCAAGTGAGCTGCTGCAGAAGGGACTAGAAGCCGACGAGACTTGGAGACTGGGTGATGTAGCTAGACTAGGCGGTGTAGGAGGCAAAATGGTCATCAAGTTTCTTTGTTTAGAGCAGTTGGCTCA